CATCGCCGCGCAGACTTCCGTTTTCGCTCCGCCATCTGCAGGGCCTGTGGGAGGCAAGGCCACATTGCCTCCATCTGTTTGGGTCACCAGAAGGAACGTTACCCAGAAGAATTGCCTCAGAAAGGTACCAGGGTTCCCAGCCAGAACAGGGTGGGCTTCTGTGCACTATGTAGGAGCATTTTTAGAATGGGGGTCCAGAGGCCATTTAGGAAGAAGCTTCACATCGACGTGAAGTTGCAAGGGGTCCCCTTGTCAATGGAGCTGGACACCGGTTCTGCTCTATCGATCATCTCCCTAGGCACCTTTAACAAGGTCTGCAGCAGAAGTGCCCTACAGGTGAAACTCAGGCCGTCAAACCTCATACTCACAGATTTCCAAAATTCCAGAGTCAACGTGAGGGGGGAGGCCACACTCAAGGTGCAGCATAGAAATTTTGAGGGGCTACTGGATGTAGTTGTGATTGGGGGAGACCGTACGAGTCTCATTGGACTTGACTGGTTTGAGGCCCTGGGAATTCAGGTGACTGGAATACACAGCGTGCAAACAACAGGCCTGGCTGGGGTCTTCAAGGAGTTTGCAGATGTGTTTAGTCCAGAACTTGGCTCCTACAAAGGCCCTCCTATTTCTCTGAGGCTAGACCCAGCTATAGCCCCCATTAGAATCAAGCCACGCAGGGTGCCCTTTGCCTTAAAGGGTAAAATAGATGCAGAGCTGGATAAACTGATTCAGCAGGGTATCTTAGAGCCTGTGGACAGTAGTCCATGGAAAATGCCCATAGTTACGCCACTGAAGGCCAATGGTGAAGTCCAAATCTGTGCGGACTACAAGTGCATGCTTAACAAAGTGCTACAGCAGCATTCGTACCCAGTACCAGTGGTCAGTCACATTCTAGCCTCCCTCAAGGGGGGCCAGATCTTTGCTAAGCTTGATCTGGTTCAGGCCTATCAACAATTGCCAGTTGATGAGGAAACGGCTGAGGCCAAAACTATAGTGACTCACAGGGGGGGGGCATTCAAGGTAAAAAGATTGCCCCTGGCATCTTCCAGAGTGTAATGGAGTGAACACTCCAAAATATCCCTGGCGTTTGCCTGTACTTTGACAATGTCCTCATCGAAAGGCTAAGAGCCATTTTGCTACGTTTCCACCAAGCGGGGCTGAAGCTTAAGCAAGACAAGTGCAAGATTGGGGTTACCTCCATAGAGTTTCTAGGATTCCGCACTGATGTTCAGGGCATCCACCCTGCTGAATCCAAGCTGCAAGCAATTCAGCAGGCCCCAAGTCCCAAATCCAAGGGCGAACTTCAGGCCTTTCTGGGACTGCTAAATTTTTACCACTGATTCCTTCCTCACAAGGCTGTAGTGGCTGAGCCATTACACTGGCTCTTGGACAAACAGTCCCCGTGGCAGTGGACACAAGCACATGAAAAGAGCTTCAAAGAGGTCAAGGCCTTGCTCTCTTCAAATGCGGTCCTCGCACACTTCAATGAGAGCTTGCCAGTGTGCGTTGCCTGTGATGCATCCCCTTATGGGATTGGGGCTGTGTTAAGTCACTTGAAGGCTGATGGAACCAATAGCATACTACTCTAGAACCTTATCATCAGCTGAATGCAATTATACACAGATAGATAGGGAAGCCTTAGCCATAGTGGCTGGCATAAAGACGTTCCATGACTTCGTATATGGCCACCACTTCACGGTTTTTACAAACCATAAGCCACTGCTGGGGTTGTTCACAACAAACAAACAAACCCCACACATAATATCCCCACAAATGCTGAGGTGGTCTATCTTCCTGTCTGCATATGACCATACACTAGTTCACAAGCCAGGCAAAGAAATGGGTCATGCAGATGGTCTCAGCAGGTTGCCATTACAGCAGATAGAGGCAGATCCAGCACCTGCCAATTGCATCCTGTCTATTCAGGACTTGCCTGAATCTCCCTCAGTGCTAGGGATGTGGCTGCAGAAACAGCCACCGATCACACGCTAACATGCGTGCTGACTTGAGCATTGTCTGGATGGCCTGACACATGTCCAGGTTCAGAATTCCAGAGCTTCTGGCAGAGGAAGCATGAGATTTCCACCTTCAAGTGGTGTGTCCTATGGGGTAGCCGGGTAGTAATCCCAACCTCATTGAGGACTAGAGTCCTGCAGTCTCTGCATGAGGGACATCCGGGAATAGTCCAGATGAAGGCATTAGCATGCAGCCATCTTTGGTGGCCTGGGCTTGACAAAGATGTTGAGGCCCAGGTCCACTGGTGCACTGTTTGTCAACAGTCAACGCTGGAGATGCCCCAGGCCCCAGTTCATAGGTGGGAGGAGACTCATACCCCATGGTCGAGAGTCCATATCAACTACACTGGGCCCTTTCAGGGGCAATTCTTCTTAATTCTCATGGACAGCCATTCCAAGTGGCTAGAGGTCATGCCTGTCTCCTCCACTACCACTGCTAGGACCATCCGGGTGCTGAGAGGGATCTTAGCCGCACATGGACTTCCAGATGTCCTTGTCTCTGACAACGGGCCCCAATTCACGTCATTTGAGTTCAAGACATTCCTCCAGGTCAACATGGTCTGGCATGCCACATCTGCACTGTTCCATCCAGCTTCCAACGGCCAGGCTGAATGAATGGTGCGCACAACCAAGGATGCCTTAAAGAGGATCACTCACAGAACCTGGCATCACAGGTTAGCAGACTTTCTTCTTTGCCACCGCACCACACCTTGCACAGCTACTGGAAAGAGCCCAGCTGAACTCCGCAGGGGTCGCCGCCTCATCACAAAACTGGACAGATTGCACCCAGACTGGGTGGCTTCACAGGTGTCACAGCCAGGGGCACCTAGGAGATTACAAGTAGGAGATCCGGTCTGGGCAAGGAACTATGGATCAGGACATCTCTGGGTCACAACAGTGGTATGCAAGGTCTCTGGGCCGCTTTCATACGAAGTGGCCTTGGACGATGGTCGTGTGATCCGACGTCACATTGACCAACTGTGCTGGAGGCTTCCCAGCAACTCTTCTGCTCCTAGCTCTGCTCTCGGGGGGGAGGAGGACCACAATTACGATTGTGGACCATGGTCTCTCCAACATCCCCAGGCTTTAGCTATTGCTCCAAACAGGGAGTCCGCAGAAAGGGGGTTCACCATGGAGGCAGCTCCGGCCTCTGGCACTCAGGCCACTCCAGCTGCTGGTCTAGGGCTCAAGGGACAGTGCTTCCAAGAGGAGTCCATTGGGGACTTGGGGAATTCCACCCCACCACTGGATTTGGGGAATTCCACCCCCCCAAGGAATCCTGGCTTGGATTTAGCAGATCAGCCAGTCAGCAGCTGGGTGGGTCCCCTGGGTCTTTGTGGCAACAAAGTCCTGGTCTGCCTAGCCTGGCAGGCAAGCTGGCAGGTCAGGCACACACACCGGCCATGAGAAGATCAGGGTGGGCCAGAGGTCCTCCCAAATACTTACAAGACTATGTACGGTCCTTGTCAGTTCATGGGCAGGCCTGGTAGTCTGGGTTAAGTAATGCAACTCAAGGGGAGTGGGGAACATGGCGATAGCAAGACTGTAGTGTTGTGTATATATAGATGCAATGTAATGGAGTGTTGGAGTATTTAAAATAATAAGTGTACCTTATTATTTTAGCCAAGGGGGAGGGGTATTATGTCCTGGGCCAGCAGGCATAGGCTGCAGCGATTGGCCCGGGCAGACCATGTGGATGCCCGGGACAAGAAAGGCTGCTTCCAGCCTTTGCAATGATTGGCCTGCAAGGTATTGTGCAGGGGGGCTATAAAAGGGGGGCGCACCATTTTAAAACCTGTTCTGTTGGTGTTGCAATAAAGAAAATTGTTGGAACTCATTGCTTCATCTCAATGCCTCTTTTCCTGAAACAGAACAGGTCAAATACTTCTTCCACTCAATTTATAACTTTTTTGAAATGCATTTTTCTGGGTTTTTTGTTATTATTCTGTCTCTCAGTGTTAAACTGAACCTACCATTAAAATTATAGACTGATCCTTTCTTTGTCAGTGGGCAAACACACAAAGTCAGCAGGGGATCAAAGTTTTTTTCTTTCACTGTATGTATGTATGCATGCATATATACACACACATACTCATACACATACACACAAACCTATCAACAATACTCTTCTTTGGAAATTCCACATTTTTTTAAAAAAATGTTTGTTTACTAAAGGAAATACTGGGAAACAATTCTACTGAAGCATGGATTTTACTGTAGAAATAACAACTGTAAATAACTTTGTGTGCTTCTAAGTTGAATACTTTAAAAGTTGGATTACTAGAGATAATCTGTTTGCAAAGTTGACACTGGCTGAACTGTGAAAAAAAGAGAAAACTGCTTCTGGGGAAAGCTGCAGTGCCTGAACAATTATAAAATCACATCTAACCTTGACTGCTTCACTATCGATTATATCATTTATTTCAATAATAGATGACATGCAGAGCAAAATTGATGATCTCTTCACTAGAATTATTCTAGTGACTGTAATTTGTTCACTTGGTCTAAGATGTAAACATCTGAAGCAGAGACATACAATCTAATAGTGACAATGAGAAAAAAAAACATATAAAGGTTTTATCCCATAGAGAGTTGCAAATAAGTGTAAGAATTGGAAAGTCCACAATTTTTTACTTTACACTTTGATTTCTCATAGTACCAGGGTGCCATCATTTGAGCACAATGTTAGTTGGATTTTAACAATCTGAATAAAGGACATGTATCAATCTATATTATTGTTATACATAAGGAATAGTAGCAAAGCTCTTAAGTGATGTATTATTCTGGCTAATATTTGTTCATGCAGAATTCTGATTAAAGTGAAATCAGACTCATCAATATTTCGGAAGACTTTTTGCTGCCCAGATGTTTCTTCTTGTTCTTTTTGTCATCCCAATAGTAAGAGTGAATAGTCCAGCATGTTATGTGCAGGAGCCAATACCTACTCGGTATGAGTGGTATCAAGAAGGAAACATCATTCTCGGCGAGATGGTTTCTATGATACATTACCATTTTAATGAAGTTTCATTTCAGAAGGATCCCTCTCAAGAGTTTTTTGAACTTCCAGAGTATGGATTTTCTATCTTGCTCCTCTATAGCAGTCAGGAAAGTTTAATGCATGGAGGGAAATAGGGAAAGGTGGATTGTTTTCTTGCATAATGAGAACTCTTTTTCTCCTGGGGTATTTCTACATCTCTGAAATTCCAGACAGCTTTTAATAAATGTAAATTCTATTTGTCAAGGGTACAAAATTATATCAGGTAATCCAGTTTATGGTGGTGGCAAGTACAAGAGAGAAATATCATAGGCTCTTATATAACGTCAAGCCTGTAAGAAAAGTGCATTTTTTGAAATGGGAGGACATTTTAGTTTGTGGGAACCAGGAATACATTGACTCATTCTGCAACCATGTCAATTACAGAAAATATTTCATTCTGGCAGAGTTCCCACTTGACATGGAATAGCCCTATCTTAAACATGGAGAGAAGGAGAGTTTATTGATATATTTAATTCAGTTATAGCAATTACAATTGTTCAGATATAAAATCTTCTTTAAAGTTAACATCTAAAAGAGTGAAATCATTTTAATTACAGGGTACTAGCAAAATTTTACCAACATGCCCTGTCCTTGGCCTTTGCTGTGAAGGAGATCAATAAGAATCCACAAATCTTGTCTAATGTCACCCTTGGCTTCCATATCCATGACAACTATTATCACCCAATGATGACCTATCGGACCACCCTGGACATGCTTTTCAAATCCCAGCAATTTTTCCCCAACTACAAATGTGATATCATGAAAAACCTCATAGCCATTATTGGGGGACTCAGCTCTGAAACTTCGTCCTACATGGCAGACATTGTAGGCTTATACAAGATACCACAGGTAGGCACTTGAAGAATAAATATAAGACATTCTTTTCTCCCTTCTAGAAAATAATTATTTAGCTGAATAACCTTACAAAATATTGTTTACATGAGTAGGAAAATGGAGGAAAATATGCTCCTGATATTATGTTTCTACAGAATGTATTCTTTCTTTTAGCTGATTTATGGATCTTTTACTCCTCTGGATAGTTATAATGCCAGGATGTCTTCCTTTTACTCCGTTGTCCCAAATGAATCTTCTCAGTACATTGGGATTATCCAACTGCTTCAACATTTTGGGTGGACCTGGATTGGGATATTTACTACTGATAATTGGAATGGAGAACGTTTCCTACAGATCATGGAGTCCCTCCTTTCCCAACATGGAATCTGTTCTGCTTCCATTCAAAGAATTCCATATTTAACACAATGGGATAAATTTCAGGAAATGATTGACAAAACAACAAATATTTATAACAGTATAGCTGATAAGAAGGTCAATATTTTTATTGTATGTGGAGACTCTTTGACAATTGTATGGATGACTACGATTATATTCATGTATGATCCTGGATTTGAGCAGAATTCCTTGGGGAAAGTGTGGATCATGACTGCCCAGATTGATTATGTCTTAACAGGAATGCAAAGAAAGTGGGATCAACAGTTCTTTGATGGTGCCATTTGTTTTACAATTCACTCAAAGCAAATTTTAGAGTTCAAGGAGTTCCTGAAGTTGATAAAACCTCCTTGGATTCAAGAAGATGGATTTTTCCCACTTTTCTGGGAACAACTGTTTGATTGTTCCTTGCCATCTCCTCATTCGACCATACTGGACAATGACATTTGCACAGGAGAGGAAAAACTGGAGGACATTCCTGGATCTCTTTTTGAGATGCAGTTGACCGGGCACAGTTATAGTATCTATAATGCTGTCTATGTATTGGCTCAAGCTTTATATACTCTCTTCTTACTTCAGTCTAATCGCAGGCATTTGAGGAGACCTAAATCATCAAAATATGAAGATGTAAAACCATGGCAGGTGATTTGTTTGATAGACATACTTTGTGCTAGATAATAGTAAATACAAAGTTATGCTGTATGATTTAAGTAGGGAAGAAGCAACTATCAAAAATGAATAGAATATCTTATCTTTTTTGGGGAAAGCTAGTCTTTATAACTTTATTTCCATCAATGTAATATGTTTTCCATTTTACTCCTTGAACATCTTAAGGATGCAAGTATTAATTAAGCTCCAGTTCCTAGTTTTTAAATTCCTGTAGTTTTTAGGCTTGTTACCTAATATGTGAATCCTATTTAGCCTAAATAGCTATCCTTTAGTCCTTACGACATCCACAGCAGCCTTATGTCTGTGAGGATTACATGAAAATAAAAGTAAAAATGGGTTGGAAGTCAGAAGCAAATCAGTGAGGTGGGATTTCTTAGAAAAGGAGGAGACAAGAGAGGAAACCTGATTTTGGAAACTATTTTTCCATTGGATAACAGTTTTTGTACTGGAAAGGAGTAGAGATGGGACATTAGAATTCTGTTTATATGACATTTGATCGCTCAAGCTGAACTATCTGATCCTTCTTTCCCCACATAAGCAGAGGGCAGGAAAGAGGATCTAAAAAGGTTGGAGAAATAGATTTTTACTGTTTTCTCCCTCAAATGTAGAGTGCAGCTAAGATAAAATTACTCGTATCTTTCTATTCTTTATCTTTCTATTTTCTTTTTATTCCCAATATGATAGCTCCACCAATTTCTTAAAAGCATGACATTTAATAATTCTCTTGGAGAGGCCTTGACTTTTTATGATCAAACGAGTATGGAAGGTGGATTTGATATAATCAACATAGTCATCTTTCCCAATTCCACTTTCCAGAGACGCAAGATTGGAAAAGTGGATCCTGATGCTCTGCAAGGACTGGAATTAGTCATTAATGAGAACATGATCATTTGGCATCGATCATTTAACCAGGTTTGGTTTCAAGGAGAGTTTGTATGACTGTACTCAGTTGGGCTCATTAGGTTAAGAAATGTACTACTACTACTACTACTAATAATAATATAAAGTTGGAAGGGACCTTGGAGGTCATTTAATCCAACCCTCTGCTCAGGCAGGAAACCCTATACCATTTCAGACAAATGACTGTCCAGTCTCTTTTTAAAAACTTCCAGTATTGGAGCATTCACCGCTTCTGGAGGCAGGTTGTTCCACTGGTTAATTGTTCTAACTGTCAGGAAGTTTCTCCTTAGTTTTAGATTGCTTCTCTCCTTGATTAGTTTCCATCCATTGCTTCTCTTCCTGCCTTCAGGTGCTTTGGAGAATAGCTTGACTCCTTCTTCTTTGTGGCAGCCCCTGAAATATTGGAACACTGCTATCATGTCCCCCCTCGTCCTTCTCTTCATTAAACTAGACATACCCAATTCCAGCAACCATTCCTTATATACTTTAGCCCCCTGTCTCCTAATCATCTTTGTTGCTCTTCTCTGTACTTTTTCTAGAGTCTCAACATCTTTTTACATCGTGGTGACCAAAACTGGATGCAGTATTCCAAGTGTGGCCTTACCAAAGCATTGTAAAGTGGTATTAATACTTCACGTGATCTTGATTCTATCCCTCTGTTAATGCAGCCTAACACTGTGTTGGCTTTTTTGGGCAGCTGCAGACACTGCTGGCTCATATCTAAATGATTGTCCACTAGGACTCCAAGATCCCTCTCACAGTTGCTACTATTGAGCAAGGTACCTCCTATACTATACCTGTACATTTGGTTTTTCTTGCCTAAATGTAGAACTTTACTTTTTTCACCATTGAATTTCATTGTCTTAGATAGCGCCCAGTGTTCCAGTTTGTTCAGATCCTTCTGTATCTTAAGCCTGGAGTATTGACTATTCCTGCCAGCTTGGTGTCATCTGCAAATTTGATGAGTTCCCTGTCTATCCCCTCATCCAAATCGTTGATGAAGATGTTGAAGAGCACTGGGCCTAGAATAGAGCCCTGGGGCACCCCACTACACACTTCCCTCCATGTAGATACAGTTCCATTGAGGACCACATACTGAGTATGGCCAGTCAGCCAGCTACGAATCCATCTGGTAGTGATGCTGTTTAACCCACATTTTTCTATCTTATCAAGTAGTAACTTGTGATCTACTTTATCAAATGCCTTACTGAAGTCCAAGTAAATTATATCCACACCATTCCTCTGGTCCACTAATTTTGTCACTTGGTCAACAAATGCAATAAGATTTGTCTGGCATGATCTGTTTTTGACAAACCCAAGATGGCTTTTAGTAATGACTTTGTTTGCCTCTAGGTGTTCACTGATTCATTGTTTGATTATCTTTTGCAGAATCTTCCCAGGTATTGAGGTCAGGGTGATAGGTCTGTAGTTTCATGGATCTATTTTTTTTCTCTTTTTTGAAGATGGGAACTACATCAGCTCTTTTCCAGTCCTCCGGTAGTTCCCCGGTGCTCCAGGATCTTTGAAAAATATAGTCCAGTGGTTCTGAGATGAAATCTGCCAGTTCCTTGAGAACCTTGGGTTGTAAAAATCTGATCCTGGTGATTTGAACTTGTGTTTCTAATCTATTTTTACGGTACTGTTTTTGATAGGTTGGACTGTTTTTTTCCCCTTTTTGTAAAGACAGATGCAAAAAATGAGTTAAATAGTTCCGCTTTCTCCCTGTTGCTTGTCATCTTCTTGCCACATTCCCCCACTAATTAACCAATCATTTCCTTAAACTTTTTCTTGTTTTTTACATGTTGAAAAAAAGTTTTTTTGTTATTTTTTACTTTGGTCACAAGCCTTAGTTCATTTTGAGCCTTAGTTTTCCTCACTTCATCTTTGCAGGCTCGGACTATTTGCTGATATTCTGCTTTAGTTATGTGCCCCTCTTTCCACTTGTTATACTTGTCCCTTTTATCTTTCAATTTATCAGAGAGTTCTTTATGCAGCCATGCTGGTTTCTTTTGAGAGCTGTTATTTTTTTTCTTTGTTGGTATTGTGGTATTCTTCTTCTAGGCAACCCCCGAGGACTAAACAGATTAAAAAGAAATGACATTTTTCCACTTTAATTGTTGAAAACTAATTGCAGTAATATTGCTAACAATATTTATTACACTTCCTCCAATATTGAACTGAAAATTCTAAATCCATTTATTTCATGAACCTTCTATTCCTATGCTTGATTGGACCATTTTATTCTAAGTGTGGTGGATCTTTCATTTTCAATGTAACAAGTGATTTTTCTTCCAAACAATAAATTCTCATTTTCCAACATTTTGATATTGAAAACTAGGTGCTCCCCATCTCTCTGTGCAATGAATATTGTCACCCTGGTTATCAGAAAAGGAAAGATGAAGGGAAAAAATTCTGCTGTTATGATTGTGTTCCATGCCCAGAGGAAAAATTTTCAAATAAGATTGGTACGTTAACAACTTCCCTGATTTTGTTGTTATAGAGATGATGTTGAAATATCAGCCAGACGCCATTACAAACAAGTACATCATGTGGGTATTTTTGTGAATGTATTCTGCAGCATGATTTCACCTAATTAGTTTTCAGGCTGCATATTCATTTGTTTTTATTTTGAAACAATAAAGATATAAAAGTGACTATACAATGTAAAAAAAATTAGATATATTGCAATATCTGAAAAAGAGGGAAGGGAAGGAAAGGATACCAAGCTCTAAACAATTAGATGATTTTATTTACTTATTTTTAAAAAATCTATGGCTGATTTTGTTGTTATAGAGATGAACTTGAACTATCAAGTGTAGTGCCATTACAAACAAATACACAATAATCAGCTAATTAGTTTTGAGGTTATATTTGGAAATTGAATGGGCAATGAAAAAAATGAAGTTTTAAAGAAAGCAAACATTTAAAAATAAACAAATAAATAAATGAAATTTATAGAAGCAATTTTTTAATATTTAGTAACATGGTGCTATCTTGTGTTTGTGTGTGTGTATATATAATATATGCATGCATGTTATGGATATATCTACATATCTATCTATCCATCTATCTATCTATCTATCTATCTATCTATCTATCTATCTATCTATCTATCTATCTTCTTTTGAAAACAGACATCAGAATTTCATTTTTTAATGTGTGCCAGTGTGTTCACCCAAAAAATTTGCATTTATTATGTGGTATTTCTGCATGTTTGGCTCCTCTGCAAAATACACAATTAGAGTGTGCATATGTACATTCAATTTTTATGTCCGCGATTCCCATATTCTGTTTATGGGGATAAATGCAAAAATGAACTTTAAGAGAAATGAAGGAAGAAAGAAAAATTGATAATAAACTTTATCAAATAAAAATGATGTCTTACAGCATCATAAAATTCTGTTTCTTATGTAGTTTGCTCTTGAATTATGTGCGATATATTGATGTTTTGGAATTTCCTCCTTCATACAATGTCTTCCAAATTCACTTGAAATTTAGGGGAAATATTTCATTTTCATACTATATATTTAAGTGTGGTCTTGAAGTCAATATCATTTTAAATATTAAATGATTCCTTAAAATATTCATAAATATTCATTGGAACAGTCATCAATGATAAGAACATAAAGTTAAAAATCAATAGAGATTTTTTGGGTGGTGCTACAGTTCCTTGTGTGTATTCTCAAAATTAGACTTAATTTCAACAATGTATTAAATATACATAGGGAGACGTTCAAAGGTATTTTCACTCTCTGGCTTGTATATTTTGTATCAAAATACCATCAGGGTAAGGATAACTATGAAGATAGTTAATTAACTTTCACATGAATTCATGTTAAAATAAGAGGGTTTATTTTATTTTAGGCACTCTTGTTTGCTTTCAGTGTTCTAGTGATCTACAAGCAGCTATGACAAAGATGAATGCATCGTGAAAACAATTAGCTTCTTATCTTATGAAGAACTTTTAGGAATCAGTTTAGCCACTGTTGCTACTCTGCACTTACTCACTATAACATGGATTTCTTTTTCAATTTCAGATATGGTAGCTTGTATCCAATGTCCTGAAGATCAATATGCAAACCAAGAAAGAAATGGGTGTCTCTTGAAAAGGATAAACTTTCTGTCTTATGAAGAACCTTTAGGGTATAGTTTAGCTTGTCTTGCTGTAGTTTTCTCCCTCATTACAACATGGGTGCTGGGAACTTTTATTAAGCACAAAGACAGTCCTATTGTCAAAGCCAACAACCGGGATCTCACTTACACTCTCCTCCTCTCTCTTTTGTTTTCCTTTCTCTGCTCTTTGCTTTTTCTTGGACAACCCGGGAGAGTGACCTGTCTTCTCAGACAGTCTGCATTTGGTCTCATTTTCTCATTGTCCATTTCTTGTGTGTTGGCCAAAACCACTCTTGTTTCTCTTGCCTTCAAGGCCACCAAACCAGGATCTCAGATGAGGATATGGATGGGGAAAAGACTTGCTGTTTCTATTGTCCTTTCCTGCTCTCTCTTGCAAGCATGCATCTGTATTGCATGGTTATCAACTTCTCCCCCATTCCCAGAATTAGACATGCACTCAACAACTGAAGAAATGGTTCTACAATGCAATGAAGGCTCAGTCTTTATGTTTTATTGTGTTCTGAGCTATATGGCCCTCCTTTCATTTGCCAGCTTCATTGTGGCTTTCCAGGCTCGTAAACTGCCTGACAGTTTTAATGAAGCCAAGTTCATCACCTTCAGCATGCTGGCTTTCTGCAGTGTGTGGGTCTCCTTTGTTCCAACCTATCTGAGCACCAGAGGAAAAGCCATGGTGGCTGTGGAAATCTTCTCCATTTTGTCCTCTAGTGCTGCACTCCTAGGATGCATCTTTTCCCCCAAGTGTTACATTATTGTGTTGAGGCCTGATTTAAACAACAAGAAACAATTAATAAAAAGACATTCTTAAATATCTTTTTTCTCTGTTAATTTTTTTAAGTTAGTAAGAGTAAGGTGGATCATGATAAAAACATTAATTTTTAAGTTATTCATATGAAGAGGTGCTTATCATTCTGATTGATTTCTGGCTCTGAAATCTAGATTTTTGGGAAATTCTATCAAGCTTAAACTTTTTCTCAGCAATATTCAAAAAAGCCTCACAGATTTAGTGTGGGAGGTCTAGGGATGCATATTATTTACCTATAAATTCGAACCATTCCAGTCATCTCCCCCAGACCTGCAACAAGACAAGCATCAAACCATTAGTGAATTCAAGTGATTTTATTTGTTTAATTATGAACAATTTCTTCTGCATGACCCTGAAGAAGATTCTCCAAGCCCTTCTAAGAAGGCAAGCAACACCCAAAAGAGGGCTATGGGATGGCCATATGCATGCTTAATAAGGGTGGAAATTCTGATGCTTATCTTGCCTAAGGTAGACTTCAATAGAGGCTCTACCCTCTACCTCAATAGAGGCTCTACCCTTTGCTTGGTTATATTTGTTTCCTGTTGACTGTCAGCAACATTCTTGATGTCCGTTCTATTTTTTCATCTCCCTCAACATTTCTATGAATCTCAGGGAGTGATTGAATCCATGAGACAGAAGAGGTAGTACAGGGATGTTCCAGTCCCTATTCACTGAGTCATGGTAATGCAGTGGTTAGAATGCAGGCTAACTCTGCTAACAGACAGGAGTTTGATCCCGACCAGTTTAAAATTGACTCACCTTCCATCATTCCAAGGTTGGTAAAATGAGGAGTCACATTGTTGGGGGCAATATGCTGACATTTTTAAACCACTCAGAGAGTGTTGTAAAACACAATGGAGTGATATATAAGTCTAAGTGCTATCGCTATTCCAAGTGGTGAGCAAGGGTTCAGATGCAGCTAATCAGTTTGAATAGTTCCTATCTCCCTCTGAAACAGTTTGAAGTCCACTAGTTACTATGGATGAACTGATATTATAGGTCTTGGCTCTCTGCAGTGGATAGTGGTGCCAGAGTATCCCATAGTAATCAGGACATGATCTGACGGTGACAAGTGAGACAAAAGAGCTCCACCCCCAATTTTAGGTCACATTGCCTTAGCTTCAACTGAAATATCAAATCAGTTATGTGACCACATTCTTCTGCTAGGCTCTGGATTATTTGGGAAAGGCCCATTATTGACATGGTGGCCATGTACTCCTTGAAAAACCCTAAGGCCATGACTCTGGGGAACTCCACTGGAAATCCAGACATTGAGCATGGAGCTCAGAAATGGAAGTTGCTACACATGAGGAATGCTATGTAGCAGCAACAATGCCAACTGATTCCTTGAGTTTAATATATTGAATAATCTCACATCCAGTAATCTGTGGTGCAGCAGCATTCCTGAGGTCTTAAGTAACTCCTGAATGGTGATAATCATACTGTCAGCCTCCACTAGGATCTCCACTGATGTTACATCTGAAACCAAGCTTTAGCCCAGGGGTCTTCAAACTTGGCCCTTTTATGACTTGTGGACTTCAACTCCCAGAATTACTCAGCCAGGCACACTGCAAGTTGAAGTCCACTACTCATAAAAGGGCCAAGTTTGAAGACCCCTGCTTTAACCATATCTCCTAAAGTTTGTCAATGAATCATCAAGGCCAAAAGTATTTAAAAAGGATAAATCACAGTATCTGGAAAAAAGTTTATTAATCTGAGAAGTTATGTTACTCACCAAAGCAATTTCAGTCAAAATAAAAAAAAATTAGTTAGGCAGAGAGTCAGAGAGTTTTTGGAATGTACTAACTCTTGCCACACCAACTGCAGGGGTTTCTCCCCAAAATATATTTTAATATGTCAATGAAGACGTAATCATCCAGGCCAAAAGCATTTTAAAAAGGTTAAATTACAGCAACTGGACCAAAGCTTGTTAATCTGAGATGTTTTGTTATCATCTAAGTCACTTCATAATAACTTAAATTTCCTAAAGTTCCACGTGTCCTTCTGGACCCAGCTTGGTCTATGTAATACATATTGCTTTGAAAAAAAAATGGCATGTATCTATAAAAGTAGAAGAATGGGTAAGGTTGTAATAAATCTGAATGAAGGTCGGATGAATTTGTGAAGTTGATACATACATGCTGGTAATTCGTGAATAAAATTATTAAAATATAAAGAGAGATAGTATGAATTTATTCATTTATTTTCTTGTGGGTGAATATGAAAAATATTGTTGGTAATATTGAATGGTGAAAATGAAAGAACCAGAATTGAGATTTATGAAAATATGAGCAACATTCTGAATGAATAATTCCTAGGAGACTTTTTTAATGTCAATATGTATATTCCAACTGTATTGGCAAGAGTGTTATACAAATGACTGGGTGTTTTCTCCAAATATACATTAGTGTCTCTATGAGTTTCTAATTCACTCTCAAATAGTTATAGTTGCAAGAATATCACTCATCAACACCACCACATAATTTACAAAAATTTGATTTGTTTCTATTTTGTTCTAGATGTATATGGCCACCCATTGACAGACAAGACTTTATTTTTTTAAAAACAAACAAACATACATACAAACAGTAACCAAAATCAAGCAGAAATGCATGATAGCACTTGAGCAAACCAACAAGCAAAGCTACCTAGACAGTGTAGAACTACAGAAATATAGAATCCCATCAAGCCCATTGAATGCTACCCTTGAACAAAAGCTATAGAACCAACTGCTTTTTTAGATCCTTGAAAGAAACCTGCCTTGCTATAGAGTTAGTCTGTTCTGTAGTTCTTTTCTTCCCAACATCATTTTGCTGGTGCACAACTTGAGGGTTCTCTTACACTTGCAACTTCTGCTCAAAGAGCAAGTGCAGTTGTGCTAAGGCAGCCTTTGCACAACTTTATATGGTGCATCTATTGCACATTTTACTGGATCTTGAGGCTCTGCCCTTAGTCATTCATATCCTGGTCACCTCCCGCTTGGATTATTGTAAAATGCTCTACATGGGGCTACCTTTAAAAATATTTGAAACTTACAATTGGTCCAGAACACAATGATTCAGATAGTTTTGGAAGCCCTAGGACAACACATGTATTATCACTGGTATATAGGTTGCACTGACTGCTGAACTGTTTTGGGATTCAATTCAAGGTGTTGGTTATTATTTTTAAAGCCCTTTATGACATGGATTCAGGATATTTGTATAACTGTCTTTCCCAATGAAAGGGGAATTGGCCCACTCCAGTCATAGTGGTAGAAGGGGCCAAGTATAGATCATAAGGAATTTTGGTTGTTGGGATTCAGGAGAAGAGCCTTATCTGCCATGATTCCTGCCTTCTGGAATATTTGCTGCAGGAGGTAAAATCTGCCTCCGTCTTTTAGACTTTAGGAAAAACCTTAAAATCTGGATATGCCAGCTGGCATAGGTAGATACAATACAATATAATCTTCTGCATGCAAACATGTAGACACAAATGATGTTGATTTATGAACTTTATAAAATCTATCATTCTTCAGTTCAAAATCCACTTCCTCCTCCTTCCCTTCCTCCTCCTTTCCCAGGGGTCTTCAGATTTAGTCTTTCATCTGATCTCTCTCACTCTGTCCCCCTCCCCAATCTTGTAATAATATCTCTATCTTGTAGTAGGGTACAGGAGTCCCTGCAGATTTTACACTGCTAATTGTTGCTGACTATAGTGGGCAGTGCTCATCTCCATTTCAAGGCAATTGGACCATGTGGTCAGCATGACATCACATGTGCTGTTACCTTCCCACCAAAGTGATAGTCATTTATCTACTCACATTTGCATACTTTCAAAGCTTTTAAACTCCTCATGTGGGAGGGGGGATTGGAAGAGGACAAAATGTTTCTGGAAACCTTCTTCAATATTTCATGTCTTTGTTATGGATCCTCATGATCACCAGATAAATGACAAAAAATACAATATATGATTTCACTATTTAACTACCCTCTAGCTCAGATAAAATCTAATGGATTTATTATATATATTGCACACATAAAGAATAGAAAAGATAGCATTTGATTGCATGGTTAAGGTGCCACTTTGAATATTAACTTTCCACGTGGATGCTTTTGGTCATAGTTAAAGACTGAACAATAGAATGTTAGATTAACTATTAATCTGTCCTCCTAGTCAGATGTTGTTTTGTGTTCAGATGTGGGTTCAATAGAATGATGTAGCACTTGGGGAGAAAGATGCAGCCAAGGAGACCTGCAGTAGAGCCCAAGATGGAGAAAACTTCCACAGCCACCATGTATTTCCCTTTGGTGCTCAGATAGGCTGGAATGAAGGACACCCAGATGCTACAAAAAACAAGCATGCTGAAGGTGATCAGCTTGGCTTCATTAAAAGTATCAGGTAATTTTCTGGCAAAGAAAGCCACAGTGAAACTGATGGTGGCTAGGAGCCCCAAGTAGCCCAGGACAATGTAAAACATGGAATCTGAGCCTTCATTACATTGAACAATGATCTCTTGAATCTCTGAATGCACATCCCATTCTGGGAAGGGAGGACACATGATCAACCATATCATACAGATAAAAGCTTGAATACAAGAGCAGAAGACAATGATGGATCCTGCCAGTCTTTTTCCTAGCCATTTCCTCATCTGGTTTCCTGGCTTCGTGGCCAGGAAAGCCACAACAACCGTGATGGTCTTGGCCAAGATACAAGACACTGAGAGAGAGAAAATGGTGCCAAACATAGTTTGCCTGAGAAAGCAAGTCGCCTCCCCAGGTCGACCTATGAACAGCAGAGAGCAGAGAAAACACAGCAGGAGAGAGGAAAGGAGGAGGCATGTGATGTTCCTGTTGTTGGCTTTGACAATGGGTGTATCCCAGTGCAGAATGAAGGTCACTGCCACCAAAATGAGGACTGATGAAAAGAAAAAAATAAAGGAAGTCAGAATGATTCCCAAGGTTTCACCAGAGGATAAATAGCTGAAATGTTTGGGAAGGCACTTGACCTTTCCTTCATTTGAATAGTGATCTTCTGGGCATCTCTCACATTGGTCTGCATCTGAAATACATGAAGAAGGCCTGGTCATTTCCAACTATATAGGACAATGCATAGAGCTAATTGAGAAAAATAATTCCTGATGATGTCATTCACAGTCCCTTTGATGTACTGTATATACAATACTGTAGTGCTTTCTTAATAACTGTTAAGCATGAATTCTGTGCTATTATTAATATAACTAAGAGAGGACTCTAAAAAGAACTGCATCTCTCAACCTAGCAAAGGAGGTCTTCTAAATAAAATTTTCTGTAGTTTACTCCAATCCCATTCCAATAAATAGTACACCAAAGATGGAAAGAATGAAGAATATACAAGTTTGGAAGCTCTCAGTTCTCTATTTCTTTACTTACCTATTTCGACTGAAATTCTTCCTTCGGGACATTGTGTACAATGGTAGCAACAAGTATGTTTCCCCTCCTGAACAACCCTGTTATACCCCTGATGGCAGGTTTCCACACATCTGGCACGGGGAGGTACCTGTAAAAAAAAGAAAGTTTAGGCATAGGATTCATCCAGAAGTTGTGCAAATTTTCCCCTTTATTGGGGGACATGAAAGGAACCTCCTGAAGACCGTGTGCTGTTAACATATTTGGGCATTCCCTGGGTAACAACATATACCTGGCAAATCCTTTTAATCCAGAAGCATCCAAAGCCTAGTGAAGTGCTTATTTCCACTTTTCTATTTTATTATGAGAAATTAGTACATTCAGAAGGATACATAATTTTCTGATGTCAGGATGTACCAAGAGCATAATGTTTTTGGAGAGTGTCCATGTTAACAGCAAATCATCATATTCATAGGATGAGTTCTGAGTTTTCTGCAAACACATGCATTCTCATTTGTTCTTGTAGAACAACAAAAATGGATAGTAGAGAGCATGGGAATCTCTGTTGGGGGATATCTAAAATGTTTCAATCCTACTAAAAACCAGAGCAATCTAGAGAGTCTTGCAACTTGCAGTCTAGGCAGAACTGAAGGATTTCATTGTGTATGAAATGTCATTAACTTTCATTTTGTAAGATTGGAATATACTTAGTGTTGTTTGTTTGTTTGTTTTTTTTATCTGCTAGGACCCAAATTCAAGAGAGAGAGATGGAATTACTTCTGAGCAGTTATCCCATGTTGATAGAAATCTTGATAAATTAAAGCAATTATTTGCATCATTATAAATATGCTCATCCAAACTTTCCCAACTTGACTGCCACTTTGTCCTCTGCAATCTATGCTCCTTTCTGGGAATTCCATCAAATATCATTTGTATGCAGAGATTTCTCTAAAAATGGCTCCATAGGGACACAGCTACCTATAATAAACCTTTTTTTTTTCCTTTTCAAAAAGTATCCCCTTTTTGCTCAATTTGCAACAGCAACGTCTAAGGTTAAATATTACATTTGGAAAATTCAAAAGGAAATTGTATTGTAGATTTTAACTCATGCCAAAAAATTACCAAATTTTTCATCTTTGTAAAAAAGGGAGAAAAATTCTTTTGAAACAATTGTGAGAATGATTTGTACAATGTCAATATATCAACAAAGTTTTTACACACATTTTCCAATTGGATAGAGAAATAACCCATTCTTATTTTATACACATGTGGCACTTACAACAAAGACAGATTTAAATAAATTTCCTCCTTATTCTGCTCATTACAAAAAATGCACATATATTGTCTTTTTTTAAAAAAAAATAGTAGCCTGTCGAGCAAACTAAATAAAACACAAGGACACATATTTGAATATTCTTATGTCATATTAATTTCAAAACGCAACTCAGTTCCATGTAGATATCATCATAAAGACCATCCAAAATTTCTAGCAAACCACAAGGCTCCAGGATACCATTACTGGAATTTCTGGACTGTCAGGTTATCATTATAGAAGAATATATTCCCCCACAAATAATAATTTACCAAGTTTGAGTATGTCCCACCTGCTGATACTTGTGATTCCATACAATGGCATTTTTGTCAATGGTGAACTTTTTTCCATCAAGAGCTTTGGAGTCTATCTTTCCAATCCGGACTCTCTTGAAGGATTGATTGTGGAAAGTGATAAAGTTGAAGATGTCATATCCTGGGTCAAACTCCCCCTTCTCATCAAAAAATATTTCTTCTCCCACGCTGTTATTAAACCGGGTATTTCTCAGAAAGTAGTGAAACTGGATTTGAGAAAGAGGAGAAGTCAGAGCAGTTATCTTAATCTTCCCCAAAGTTTAGTTTTGTTCAGAATCCCAACAGAGTTTTAGTATGAATCTTATCAGAATTGTTTTCCAATTTCAGTAATATCAGATCCAATATACTTATTACTTTAATGGTAATATATTAAAATATAAAATTGAAATTCTTTGCATAAGATTCTCACACAGCCTATTTTTCAACTCTTGCATAAATAAATAATTGGAAGAAACAGGCTATCCTACATAAATAAGATAGGATATCCATTACATGTGATGGAAAAAAAGGGAAACATAGGAACTGCAATATTATCTATCTCTTGTTCAATAGCTTCCTTAAATTAATATTACTTGGATCCTTGGATAACTTTGAAATTTAAGTTTACAATCCTCCCTCTTCTGTATGTCTGGACTATTATAATTCATATAATACATCCAGAGGGTTACAGTGCAGACTGATCCACCAATTGGAAGTGGAAATTTTATCAACTGAAGTAAGAGACATGATCCAGTGAATATTAACTTCTGATGATTTCAGAATCACATAGGTTTTTTTTCTATAATGCTCATATATGAAGCTTTGGGTCATTTTTCTCAATCAATGAATGAACAGTTTTAATTAGTTCCTTCTTATTTAGTTTTAGGATTTATGTGGAAAACCAGTTATGTTTTAGGTCATATGTAGAAACATGTAGACATATTAAAAATTCATAGGCATTCACATACTTTCAAGAATGACCATTTATATGAAAGTTTTTCACTATATATACAGTATATTAACAGTTCCATAGCACAATACTGTAGGTAGTACAGCAAGAATAGAAAACTTGTTTACTACAAAGAGTTTAGGGGGAGATCCTATAATGAAGAGTATGTAGACAAAGTAAAGCCATTTTAGTTTTGTGCATTCAAATTTTGGAAGATGTTGGGTGTGAGCATTTGCACAGAAACTGTTAAAATTAATGGGTTTTCACTCCCTGAAACAGCACTAAGCAAATCACCACAACGTAGCTCCTTCTGGAGCTGATTTGACTTTGGAAACATTTTTTTTATAAGATTGAGCTGCATTAGTTACAAAAAAAAATAAATAAAATAAAATGCTAAAGGTTAATTGACTGCTGCAAAGAAACAAATCCAGAGTGTTTTTATTGTTGCTTCTCTTCCCATCCTCTTCAGGGTTTCCATAAATGTATCTGAGAAGAACAATGACATACCTCCCATGGCTGAAAATGCTGAAGAATTGATATATCCTGATTTCTCAGATGAGCTGGCTTTGCTCTTCTTGAGTGCATTGCCTGCACAGCATGAGCTGCAAGATAAACCTCATTGTAGATATTGTAGCTCTCTCCAGACATGTTCATTTCAAACACAGAGTCAGGGACTTTCCTGAGTTTTTCCTTCCCAGTGCAGCATTTAACTCCTTTCTGATATGGAGGCAATGAACAATGAAATACAGACTCCCAGAACCAATTAACATAAGGAAAAAGACTTAAAGAAGGTTTTATGCTCTCAAGAAATTCCTGAAATTCTGGCACAATCCTTGTGTGGAGTGAGAAGTATAGGGAACCATTGAAAGTCTGGACTAGGACTTTTCCTAGTGATGATAAAGTAACAGTGAAATCCCACTGATAGGTCACAATCCACACTCTGTGATCTATTGGGTCCTTTTGATAAACTTCTTTGGAATGTAGCCCCCATTGTAAAATCTGCATAGATTGGATAGTTCCATAGGCAAGGAATACACTGACATTCTTCACTGAAATAGTGTCTATTATTTTGCCTATACGTTCAAAAATAGCCTCTTTATTTAAGATTGCATCCTTTAAAATTGGGATCAGCTCCATCCAAGCAATGCAAATATCATTCTGGAAGAGCTTTGGCTGGAGATTTTGAATAAAAGCTTCCCTACTCTCATCCTCTGGGACTAAGAGGCCAATCCAATTCCATTCAAAATGTTTCAGTAAATGAACAATCCCCTCATATTGCAAATTTTCATTGGGAACCATGCTGAAGAAGGAAGGAAACTGCCTTTTATCACTCAGGACTGGATCAGAGGAGCCATAAATGAGCTGTTGGGAAGAAAGGTACATAGAAAATCAAATTGAGAGTCCTTTTGTGATTCTGAAGAGCATTGAGCTTTTCCATTCTCTAAAGAATATTGAATACTATTGTGACATTATGACTGTATTACAAAATCCCAAAGGTTACCATCAAGTGTTACTTGGAACAAAGAGATCATAGCTTCAGAATAGGAAACTCTTAGAACTCAGAACTGGGAAATGTTCTAGATTTCATTGCCCATTTTTTCTCATCACCTGAGAGTTTGGCTAAAAGTGATAGAAGCTAGGGTTTATCAAAAAGCAGAGGTCTGCTTTGACTTCTTTTGCTAAAGAAGATGAACAATGGGAAATGGTCATACTTGTGGAAACTTGTAGATGTTCAAAATGTGGGCCATCTGGATGGAAGTGAGGGAGGTAAGATCACCAATGATAGGCATGGAGTTCAGCTTCCTTTTTCTGACACAGTTGAAGTTCAGAGGACTTTCTCGATTCACAAACAGTAAATCTAAAACATGCTGACTGGCCACCCATGCATTAAAACCGGTTTCATAAATCTCCACTGTTAGTGTAGTGTTGGGGAACAGCTCAACATTCTTGTTTATCTCATCAATGGCAAAATACATAGAAAGAGGATGCTGGGCATATTTTGGTATCATGCTGAAATAAAAGTGCAGAAGTAGAGAACTTCATATCACAAAGGAATTAAATCTTGCTGTGAACTATGTAGATAATTTCAGCAATTTATGCCAAGAAGATTGATTTTGAATTTCAATGAAATATACTTTTTTCAAAAACCATTTTATTTTTGTGCATTCAAATTTTGGGAGATGTTGGGTGTGAATGTTTCTACAGAAGTTATTGATATTAATGGGATTTCAGATCCAGAAGTAGCATTAAATAGCAGATCCCCAAAACATAACTCCTTCTGGAGCTGGTTTGAATTTGGAGATGAATGTTTGCTATGATTGAGCTGCTGTGATTTGCACATTACTCAAACCACCTCAACAACCACTGATTCTTGAGCAACAAAATAGGAGCCATGCTTCTCAATCCTAATATAGCATAGATTCCTTCTGTTCAAATCAGCAGTGATTTAAACATTTGCCATTGCCATTTCAAGACCGTAACAGTTATAAAACTCCACCTTTTGAGACATGTGAAAAGCAATAGATTTTCCACCTGGGACACAAGGATGGATTGGATTTATTCAATATTATAAGAGAAGTAGTGAAATTTTATCTTAAGCATTTAATTAGAATTAATCTTATTAATTATGTAAACTTTCAGCAAGACTTATATCTGTGGCTTAGAATTTTGGAGAGAATCCTAAAGTTATCTCCTGACAGAGGCTGTTTTTGTCTTTGAAAATCTAGAAACACCAGCATATCAACTTCATCAATCAACATTGGGTGGATATATAAATCATAGGCAGTAAATTATGTGACAAGGTTTATAAAACAAACTTTTGGTTCATACTTTGCTGATTATGTTGGAGCTTCTTCTTTTATAGTAAAGGTACATTCAAGATTGTGTAAAATATATCAACTATCTAGTTCTTCCTAGAACTTCTTGGATCTGAATTCCTTTAAGAATGTGCTGCTAATAGCTTACTAGAAAGAATTGTACTAACCTGAATTTCAGTTTGTGAATTCTGATCAGATAAATGTTATGAAAGCAAGGGGTTGGACTAGAAGACCTCCAAGGTCCCTTCCAGCTCTATTCTGATTTTAAAAAAAGAAAGCCCCCAGCATTTGCTATAAGAAAAAAAGATAAAGAGGTACCCCATTTTCCATAAATGGTACTTCCATTGTGGAGAGGGAGGAAATAATAGAACTGGTGCATTTTTTCAAAAATCCACGATTATCTCAAAATGCATGTTTAGATTTTAAGATCTCTAAGAGAGTCCCAAATGCTTGTTTTCCATCTCAGTGAAAGTCCTGGTTAAAATATCTAACGCTTCTAAATGCAACAGCCAAAGGGCCAGTGCCATCTTTGAACCAGGATAATCTACCTTTTCTCTACATTCCATCACCTTTCTCTGAAGTTGTATTACATTTTATTTCAAGAGGAATGAGGCACTTACACTCCATATTCAGCAATGTGTGGCACTTTTTTGAAACTCTGCATAGGTTCATCAGTCTTTGTAAAGGAAAAAAATCCCCCAAGTAACATTTTAGCTCCAGAGGTGTAAAAATTAGCTCTAGAGGTTAAATTTTTCCTTGGAAGATTAGAAGGATGGAGGCAGATTGATTTCAAACTCTCACTGACACTTGCAGGAAGAAAAAAGAAGAGCAGAATAAGTTTAAATGCCAGGAGATCTAACCCATCATTCCATTTTTTCAAATACATGGTCAATAAAATATAGCTGTCAAGTTTGCAAAAAATATTGCCTTGATTAGATCTAATGGGAAACGTCCACTGAAAAGGAAGATATTTTTATTCATAAAAGGTAAAATAAAGGTAAAACAGAACAGTTTCCTTGACTCAGGTAAATGCTGAGATTTCAGTGCCCGAGGTAAATTTTGAGGAATCTTTCAAAGTCTGGCATTACTGACCCTTTTTTCTTCCAGCAGTCCTTGCCAAAGAGACAGACCTGAAATCTAGTCATTTTGCAAATTAGAAGCAAATCATAACCTTATCCTCTATTCCCTAGCTGATTTAGGCAAATATTGTTTGTTAAACTCTGCACATGACTAATGTAAGAGATATTATTAGTGTCCCATAGAAAGTGTCAGTTCTATTCTCTTGCCTTGAATTCCCTATTTATTCTTATCTTGACCTTATATTGAATGAGGGAGAAAATTATCCATATGAACCAATACATATTTTGTTTCAAATTAATAGGAACTAATCCTCATCCAGAGCCACTGCCCAGCTTCTTCCTATACTTAGTTAAACCCATGTGATTTTTTTTTTGCAGGATTGTTTGTTTATTTGTTTATTTATTTGACTTGTTTGATGCCCATTCAGTCTATGGGAAAGTCTGGGGGACTTATGAACATTAAAAGCCAATAAAAATTAAAGCAACAAATAGAACAAATGCACGGGTACAGTATAGGGGGTACCTTGCACAATACTAGTAACTGTGAGAGGGATCTTGGAGTCCTTGTGGACAATCATTTAAATATGAACCAGCAGTGTGCTGCAGTTGCCAAAAAAGCCAACATAGTGCTAGGCTGCATTAACAGAGGGATAGAATCGAGTTCACATGAAGTGTTAATACCACTTTACAATGCCTTGGTAAAGACACACTTGAAACACTGCATCCAGTTTTGGTCACCATGATGTAAAAAAGATTTTGAGACTCTAGAAAAAGTACAGAGAAGAGCAACAAAGATGATTAGGGGACTGGAGGCTAAAACATATAAAGAACAGTTGCTGGAATTGGGTATGTCTAGTTTAATGAAGAGAAGGACTAGGGTTGATATGATAGCAGTGTTCCAATATCTCAGGGGTTGCTACAAAGAAGGAGTCAAGCTATTCTTCAAATCACCTGAAGGTAGGACAAGAAGCAATGGATGGAAACTAAACCAAGAGAGAATCAACCTAGAACTAAGGAGAAATGTCCTGACAGTTAGAACAATTAATTAGTGGAACAACCTGCCTACAGAAGTTTTTAAGAAGAGACAAGACAGCCATTTGTCTGAAATGGTATGGGGTTTCCTGCCTGAGCAGGGGGTTGGACTAGAAGACCTCCAAGCTCCCTTCCAACTTTTATTATTATTAATTATTATTATTATTATTATTATTATTATTATTAATAATAATAATCTTTTATGCATTAGACATGAACCTCAGTCAACTGAACATTCAAATTGGATGGCACTGATGGTTGACACGGATTGCTACCAGCATCCTAGGTGTCAACCAGATATCTCCTTAAAATATAAGATGTTCCGAGTAGCACAGTTTTTTGTAACATTCACTGAAATAGTGTCTATTATTTTGTCTATACGTTCAAAAACAGCCTCTTTATTTAAGATTGCCTTCTTTAAAATTGGGATCAGCTCCATCCAAGCAATGCAAATATCATTCTTGAAGAGCTTTGGCTGGAGATTTTGAATAAAAGCTTCCCTACTCTCATCCTCTGGGACCAAGAGGCCAATCCAGTTCCATTCAAAATGTTTCAGTAAATGAACAATCCTCTCATATTGCAAATTTTCATTGTGAACCATGTTAAAGAAGGAAGGAAACTTCCTTTTATCACTCAGGACTGGATCAGAGGAGCCATAAATGAGCTGTTGGGAAGAAAGGTACATGGAAAATCAAACTGAGAGTCCTTTTGTGATTCTAAAGAGCATTGAGCTTTTCCATTCTCTAAAGAATATTGGATACTATTGTGACATTATGACTATATTACAAAATCCCAAAGGTTACCATCAAGTATTACATGGAACAAAGAGATCATAGCTTCAGAATAGGAAACTCTTAGAACTCAGAACTGGGAAATGTTCTAGATTTCATTGCCCATTTTTTCTCCTCACCTCAGAGTTTGGCTAAAAGTGATAGAAGCTAGGGTTTATCAAAAAGCAGAGGTCTGCTTTGGCTTCTTCTGCTAAAGAAGATGAACAATGGGAAATGGTCATACTTGTGGAAACTTGTAGATGTTCAAAATGTGGGCCATCTGGTGAGGTAAGATCACCAATGATAGGCATGGAGTTCAGCTTCCTTTTTCTGACACAGTTGAAGTTCAGAGGACTCTCTCGATTCACAAACAGTAAATCTAAAACATGCTGACTGGCCACCCATGCACTAAAACCGGTTTCATAAATCTCCACTGTTAGTGTAGTGTTGGGGAACAGCTCAACATTCTTGTTTATCTCATCAATGGCAAAATACATAGAAAGAGGATGCTGGACATATTTTGGTATCATGCTGAAATAAAAGTGCAGAAGTAGAGAACATCATATCACAAAGGAATTAAATCTCGCTGTGAACTATGTAGA